ATATACTCGCTAATGATTTTAGAAAATTCATAGGGAAAGAGAAATAGGGAGAAAGAGCAGAGGGGAGAGAAAGAGAGAGAGAGAGAGAGAGAGAGAGAGAGATACATATATAACTTACGTATTGTGACGTATGAATGAATTATATTGTCGGTTCCATTTCGTCGATTTCAAAATATAAAATATTGATGAAGGAAAGGAAAAAAAAATTAAAAGGTATAATTAGATGATGAAATAATAATAGCACGCGAAAATATATAGATATATGGAAAAATACAATGAAGAAGAAAAAGAAATTTGAACGTATGTTTAATTCGAATAAAAAAAGAATTTAAAAATATAATGGGGAATAATATTTGAAATGTTGTTCGTATATACATATACGTATATATATACAATACAATATATACATATATATATATATATGTATATGTATATGAATATGTATGTATATATATATATTTGTATATATATACATATATATAAATGTATACGTGCTATTTTGGTTAGGATTGATCAGATTATAATAATGTGGAACTAACGACGTATACACATACACACACATACACAAACACACATATATATATATACTCATACGTTTGCGCGAACAATTCCAAAAGGTAATTACGCTGCGCATTACCGAATCGCGTTTATTATAATCGTTTATCGCGCTTCTTTTATTACGCGCTTGCGCAATATCATTATTATTATTATTATTATTATTATTATTATTATTATCATTATCATTATTATTATTATGATTATTATTATCATTATTATTATTATCATTATTATTATTATTATTATTATTATTATTATTATTATTATTATTATTATTATTATTATTATTATTATTATTATTATTATTATTCGAATGAGAAAGGTGATTCGATTCGTGACGAATTAAGGCGCGTTCCAACAATTACAAAATATTTCTTCTCTACCCCTCTTCTTCCATCCCTTTAACGTTTCTGCATACTTTCTTTATACGTATACGGTATTTATAATTCTTTCCTCTTTATTTATACGCGGTTTCGGTCTGCGCATGCGCAAACTCACGAACGTGCAAATATGTTCATACAGAGAAAGAGAGAGAGAGAGAGAGAAAGAGAGAGAGAGAGAAAGAGAGAGAGAGAGAAAGAGAGAGAGAGAGAAAAAGAGAGAGAGAAAGAAAGAGTGAGAGAGAGAAAGAGAGAGAAAGGGAGAGAGAGAGAGAGAGAAAGAGAGAGAGAGAAAGGGAGATAGAGAGAGAGAGAAGGCAATTCAGAAGGTACGATTATATCTGTGTATTACGTGTTGATCGGTTGGCCATACGTATTATTAATCGTGGATATATGAAAAAAAAAAAGAAAAAGGAGAGAAAAAAGAAAAGAAAGGAAGAAAACTTTAGAAGCGATAATAATGTAGATTTTATTCTAGTTTTTTATTTTTCTTTTTTTTTTCTGCACTTTTTTTTCTCTTTTTCATTTTCTTTTTATCGCATGAAATAAATCGTCCGAACGGAGCCAAGGTATTTACACAACGATTGTGTGCGCGTGACACATTTCACTTATTTATGTGGCAACTATTTCTTCCTTCACTTTTTCTTTTTTTTTTTTTTCATTTTTTTACTTATATTTTTGTCCTTTTTTCTTTTCTTTTTTTCTCTTTATTTCTTTACTACTATCCGTTATGCATATAAAAAAAAAGATACAATCGTATCTTTCGAATATAGATTTTGCTGCTTAGGCATGAACATGTATACATCTACATGTACACACACACAGACACACACACAGACACATACACACACACACAGATAGACAGACAGACAGACAGACAGACAGACAGACAGATAGACGGACAGAAACATAAGAACGTCTCTCGCGTGTATTTTAGAGTGAAGAAGAGAGAAAGGAATAATGAAAAGAAAAAAAAAGTAAAAAAGAAAAAAAAAGAAAAATAGAAGAAAAATCTAACTAAAGTAAAGTAAAACTAAAACTAAAACTAAACCTAAACCTTAAACTAAACCTAAAACTAAACCTAAAAGTAAACCTAAAACTAAAACTAAAAATAAAACTAAAACACACGAGAAAATAATAGATGCGTAACGTTGGTATACACGTATTTTATAGAGGCAATATTAAAATGGAAGAAAGAAAAAGAAAAGAAAAAGATAAAAAAAATAAAATGATTTAAAAAAAAAAAAAAAGAATCTCTATGACGACACGTACGGGGTCAAAAAAGCAATGTTTCGAAACAACGAACTATATACATTTATAGGCGAACATCGAAGTTTAACGAAACCGCAATTATTGTTATTATCTTCTTTCGCGCTTCGGCAATAGCGACCGATCGTCCCGCCACACCCTTCGAGATAACTCACTTATATGTATATACATATTATGTATATATACATACATACATACATATATATATATATATATATATATATATATATATATATATATATATATCCTTCATAAATCATTTTCACTTTGGTATTGTTAATAAGGACGACAAG